TGCAGAAATAGCTGGGGGAGATAAGAAAGCAAGTGACACAGCAGCTGTACTTTAAAACTAAAACCATTTCAGATCCTCCAGGTCTTATTTCATGGTGTTACTTTTCTGTCCTCTCTCAAAATCCTTGTGTAATGCAGTCAGGAGACGTGCCTGGCTAGCACAACTGGCCTTTTCTGTGTCACTATACTTGTAACCCTTCTGACTGCTGTATCAAACTGTGGTTGATGCCATTTCAATGGCTACAGGATTATGTATTTAAATTATTCTTTATCTTTGTCATTTGAAATATGTACAGTTAACCAATTTGCGTTTGAAAATGATAGAGAGGAAGATTCACTGGAGAACAACAGCTGCTCAAACAAATGAAAAGCATTTTCTTATTTTATTTATCCTGGAACAGAGAGTGTGGATACAGCATCTGATCCTCCATGAGGTCTTTGCTTCTTGCCCAATTTCCAGCTGGATGACTGAGAGTCAGTGTGATCTGCTGACCTTCCTCAAGGTCTCCAGTGATGCCACCCAAAACAGAACAAAGCATCCTAGCTGGATGCCTTTCATGCTAATCCCTGAATCAATACATTTCCAAGATCATTATTGGGCTTTCATGCACTGCCAAAAGATTGTGTTCCAGCAGTTCTCTCATTCTCTGTGTTGTGTATCCTTTGGAGCATTCTACATTATAAATCATTTTAACTCTCATTGTATGTTGCACTCCCCTTGTGTAATAATCAGAAACGTGGGAAACCATTCCTTCATATCTTCCCAAACAGAGACTGGAAATGTTGAAGATAAAGAAAGATGGAAGAAGTTGCAGCTCAAATCCTTTTGAGTCCTTTAAATGAAACAGAGTGTTTGGAGAGTGCTGCCATGGCCTCACCTTCTGCTGCATTCCTGTCAGGAAAAGCCAGGTTTCTTTGGTTGCCTAACAGAATGGCACCTAAATGACAACCTCCCACGGCTGGGATATTTATTTTACGTTAAAAAAACCCAAAGACATGCCAGAACTTCAGCATCCTACAGGCGAGGAGCGTGTTGCAAATGCTGATCTGTTCACGGGCAGGGTAAATCCTCCAGGGCTGAACCTGCACCCTTGGGCGGTGACTCTTGGCAGAAGAGCCGTGGGAGGTACAATGCCACTGTCTCCTGGGACATCAGCGAACACAAACTGCCTGCTATTGTGAGCGAGAACAAAGTCTGCGAGAGCAGCAGGCACCTTTGTCTTCTAATTAGCACCGATGGCTAAAGCTCTTTAGAGAAGGGACTTTCCCACTGTGTGTTTGCACAGAAGGAGCTGATCCGATGAGGGCAGCTGAATGCAGCGGTATAAATAATGAACTACACAATAAACACTGTGAGACTGGTTCAGTTGAGGGAGAAAAATAAACACGGCAAAGAAAGGCATTCATCATGTTAGAGATGCCATGTCAACACCCAGAAGAGATTCTTACAAACTTTCTCAAGAGTTCAGGTTAAAAACTTTATTCCATAAGTATAAAAAAAATGCTTTGCACACCAAACTTGGTGATGTCAAGCATCCACTCAAAGGGAGAACGAATACAGATTTCCTTTTCTATCTATATTCAGTGCCTGGTGTAAGTGACCTTTTGAAGAATTGGCTTTGCATATTCTCTCCAGGTGGCAGTGAAGAATTACTGCTTGATCTCTCCTCCAACAAGAAAAAATTAACGAAATATTTATTTCAACAATGGCTGTATATTCCCAGCCAGGGAACCTTGTGATGCACAGGGAAAACATTTCTGTAGTAAACCACAATAAGGGCTGAGAATGCTGCCAGTGCTGCAGAGCTCCGGGCTCAGAGCCACTCTCCTGGCTTTATTCAGAGGTTTTTATTGATCTAATCTACAGTGAGATGATCACAGGAGACACTCCTTACATTATTTAACTTGGATTTGGTGTTGGATGGGGAATTTTTTTTGTTTGTTTGTTTTGTTCTTTATTCTTCATTTGTGCTGTTATTAATACAACACATCATTAGTGAATTTCACAGGTAAGTGACTCTTGTCTCTCTTGACACATTGTTAATCAAGAGTGATGAAGGTGCTGCATCCCTCACACACTTGAGCTACCGTGACCAAGCCCAGGCTTGTGAACTAGCTGCAGTGCACTGCAGGGATGTGCCACAGCAGCACATGGGCGACAAGGGCACACAGGAACATTTTGTGGGGCGGGCAGCAATGCAGGCAGGGTCTCCCAATTCCTGCACTCCTCTGAAGAGAGCAGGAGCCAGCAGACCCACTTTAAGCAGACACACAGAGAAGCCAAAGCCAGGAAGGATATGTGAGATGCCAGATCTCCAAGAGATTGATATCTGACAGGAGGGAAAATACCCACCCAGACAAAAAAAGACCTGCCATTCTGAGGCCCTGCTCTGCAGAGATGTGATACTGGCCATCTGTTCATCTGCACATGGGTGCCTACCAGTCCTGAACTGGGGAGGCTCAGCATGCAGCAATGCTCAGCATTATTTGGGTCTGGCATTCCTGCCCCTGCTGCTCTCCCATCCAATTTACTCAATTTAGGAACTCGCAAGCAAGATTTTGATGACAGCTGCAATCATAACACCATAGATGGAGGGAATAAACAGACCAACTCTGAATAGCTACCAGTGTTTGTTTATTTTTACAAACAAGCATTTCTTCTGGAATTCATACTGCAAGAAAATCCGTGAGATTTCCAGAAGCAAAGGATGAAGTTGTGCTCCACAGAGGTCACTTCCAACCAAGTCACTGAGCCAGTGGGCAGCCTGTGACCCTGGTCCATGGAAAGGAGAGCCTTGTTTTCACATGTGCTCCTAGATAAATGTGGAAACTGGGCAAGAATGAAATGCACAGCTGAACTGCCAAATTTTAACAACTTATCACACTGTGTGTTGGCTGTTTGGAAGAGTTTAAGGTAATTGGGTGGTACAGCATCTGACTTAATGGGGCTCTGGATGTGGTGGTGGATCTGCAATAGAAACCGTATGGAGAGCACACAAGGTACCCCATCTTCAGTGCTTTCTTTCTCCTGTGTTTATTTCCCCTTTTTTCCAAACTACAATTGCTCATAAGGAAAATACCTGTCCGTTCTTTGCCTGTAGAAGGTCCTAACACACATCTGTGCTGCCACACCACCTCTCTGCACACGCACACACACCTAAAATGTCCAACTCCTCTCCCAAGCTTGTCAGAAGTAGTTATCATCATAGCCTGGGCTCTTGAGCCTGCGACGGGTAATGCTGAAACATCCAAACAGGAGATGTCATCCTGTCACCATGAATGACAGATGATTATGGCCCTTTCTAGATGCCTGTAATTAATGTTACTTTTAAACTTGGACATGAACATCCAGGAGCACAGTAAAGGGGGAAATCCTCCAGCAGCTTTGGATTTCTTTTCCTCTCCCTGCTTACTTGCCCTACAGGTCCTTCAGTAAATTAAAGAAATCACTAGCTGTTGCCTATAAAACATCCTAGAAGGGCAGGTGAAATTCAGAGCCCCAGATAAACACGTGGATAAGCATCAGAGCTAAGGCTGAAGCCATGGGTTGGGCACATGCCATCCTTCCCTGTCAGTGTTCACACAGGAACAACGTGGGAAAGGAGCCTCAGAGACAGGCTGTTATCTTGAAAATCAGGACTGACTGCTACCAATCTCTCTCTTTGCCCAGTGCCTCCTCATACCCCCTGCCACTGCTGGCTTTTATCACCTTTTTGCATCTGTTTGTTTTCATTTTTGCTCCCAGCCTGTGGCAGGAGGTTTTGTTAGGGCCATGCAATTTTATATGCGGTAGATGAGTGATGGCAGCAGTGGGCTCAGGTACCTGAAGACTGTGGTTCAGAATAACAACTTCTTACTGCCTGTCTTGTATCTCTGTTTGACTACATGATGCTGAACATCAGTCAAAGGAGGATTAGGACTTTCCTGGTAATAGCTAAACAGCAAAATTAACAAGACGCCTAAGTTCTTCCAATAAAATCATGTATTTTTAGTCTATGGAGATTCAAACCAAGACTCAGCCAGCAAACAGGAAAAAAGCAAAACAAAGATTGTTGAAAGCTTATGTTTAAACAGTTTCAGCCCAAATATTTGCTGATCACACATACACACACAAAATGCTGGTATGTTTTGCAATGAAGAGCTAGAGCCTTTAATTGCATAGGAAGCCAGGCTTGGGGATTCAAGAGAAAATAAACATGCCCCCTGCAGAATTCACTGTAAAGACTTTACATTTATTTACATTCCTGTTTTTCTTTAACCTACATTTCCCCCAGACAGAGGGGTTGTTTTGGGTAATAATCTTTTCAAATAGGCCGAGTCTACTAAAAACTCTTTGCAATTCATTTAAAATATGGATTCTGAAATATACTGCAAATCCCTTTTGCTAAGATAAAAAAAGCAGAGAGAATAAATAACATGCCATTTAATCTTTAGGCTCATCAACTCCTGGAAGATTATTTTGACAGTTAATTTGATGTATTTAACTGAACTTCCAGTCTACTCTCCTTGAAGAAAGCCATCATTTATGACTTGCTGTTGTGTAGGAGCATCCCAGATAGCTGCAGTGTCTTTTGAAGAAATATTTTCGAGGGGAAAGAGCATATATTAATGTTTTCTTGCTGTTCAGGCTTAGTTCTAAAATCCACAGTGCATCCTGTGTGCCTCTTCCCTTGCTCATATCAGCTGCTTCTGCCCCAGGGAGAGGGCAGCAGGGAAGACAAAATGCATGTGCTCAGACAAAAAGGCTGATGTCCCCATGGGGACACAGGGACACACAGCCGTGGGATGCTGCAAATCGGGAGGAGCAGCGTGTGCTGCTGCCCTGCACTGAGGCACGGCTGCAGGAGCTGCTCCTGCCCTTCCACTTGCCCCTCTTCTCTTGACAGTGCTGCCTTGCCAAGTGCTGCTGCACAGGGACTGCAGAGCTCCCCCACCCCAAGGGGGTTTAGCCATCCCAGTCCTTGCAGAACCAGGGAGAGGCTGTGGCCACACAAACTATGATTTTGCAGGATTTATTGCTGTGGATTTGCACTTTTGGGTTTTGGAAGCAGAAGGGCAGCAACCCCCACACCCTGACAGTGGGAGGGCTGGCTCTGAGCTCAGGTGCCAGCAGAGGCAGGACAGAGATGCCAGGCTGGGGACATGTCCTGGCACACGTGCAGTTAACTCAGCTTCCCATTAATCTGCCTTCCTTCCCTTGGGGTTTTTTGTGAGGTGAAGCTCATTGCACTGCAAGACACTGGGACGCTGCTGGAACTCTCAGGCACTGAGCACTCCTGCAGAAGCTCACTGCAAGTCAGAAAACAAGGGAGGCTTTTGTGTTACAAATAAGAAGTAGGTCAGATCCCACAAATGCAAACAGACAGGGAGGAAGGCGCTTGCGGTTCTTTACAGTCATCTTTGGGATTCACTTTGTAACAAGCACCAAAACCCCTGAAAGCACAGCACCCAGCCATGGAGAGCTGGCTCTTGCTGGGGTGCTTGTATCTGGGCATCACTTGTGGCCAGCACGCTCTCCTTGCACATCCACAGGCTCTGCTCCAGAGCCACTGCCACACTTGTGTGAAACTCCAAAAATAAAGCACATCAGACTGCAGGAGCTGGGATCAGACCCTTCACTTGGTTTAACAGAGCTCCCTGCTCCAAAGTGATGTTCTGCAGAACACCCCAGTGAACAGCACTCAGAGAAGCAGCAGTATTTCTGGACACAGAGAGAAAAGCCAGGCTCAATTTGGGCTCATTAGCATTTTTTAAATCAAGTTGCTGAAGCTGTGCTACCCCTCCATCACCTGTGTCTGGAGGGCTGAGGAGGGCAGTGGTTGCCCATTGGTTTAACCCAGTTTGAATTGTACCTGGCATGGCTGTGGGGAGAGGACAGGGTGGCACCAGCCTGTGACTGAAGCTCTGTCCCCTCCTCACTGTTTTACTGTCAGTTCAGCCTCACTCATTTGCCATTAATTCCCCACAATGCCTGTTTCAGACCAACCCATGCCACAGCCTCTAGGCACAGGCAGTGCTGCCCAGGTGGGACTGAGGGCAGTGTCAGCTGCCTGCTGCAGCTCTGCTCTTTGCAAACCAGCTTTGTCCCTGCATGGACAGAGTGAAGGAGACTCAGAGAGCAGGGGGACATAGAGAAGTTGCCATTAGCAGAACCAAGGTTATTCTCCTAAAACCCAGCCAAATGCTTTATCCCCTGACTGCAGTTTTAGGTATTTTTGACAAGCAAGTTTTTCACTGTGTATGTTCTTGTCCTTCCCGTTCTCTAAAAGCACAGTTTAGAGGAAATAAGCCAATTATTTTCCCAGGCAAGATTAAGGCTATAGTACCATTTAATTAAGCTGTTGTTTTAAATGTGCTCTGATGTTTTACCAGCCTGTTGAAGGCCTGGGAGACAATAAATACTTGTCTGCAACCTCTTTCTGTGTTCTGAGAGCACATTTTAATTACCACCCTCTATCCCATTTGCAGCCAGACAGTTTACAAGCTCTCCACCGTGGTGCAGATGAGTGATGGCACTTTTTGCCCTCCAGACAATGCCAGGCACTTGCCTGGGAAGCAGCTGAACAAAGAAGGCTCCTGGAGAGAAATAATTGAGGGCACCAAACAATTTACAGGACAGCATCCCCCAGCTTGTCTCTTCATGACATAAGAAACCCATAAACAGGCCAGATCTTCAGATACGGAGTTTTATTGAGTAAGGATAATAAATAGGAACCAGGTAACAGTGTCTTAATCATTGTCCCCAAGTCTCAAAATCTTTGGGTCAAATTGTTTTGTTGTCAGACTTTGACCTCCCAGCCCCAAATCACAGCAAAGCCTGAAACATCAGCTGCAATTTGCAGAAACCACCCCAAATGTGGGGGCTCCCAGGAGCGTATTTTTCTTGTGCATATTTTCCCTCCAAAGGCTGAAGTATCAAACAGTTAATTAGCTGATTGTGGGTACAGTGGCATGAGAACAAATTCACCCAGCTGCAGCCTTCCTTGATAGAAATATTCCACCTGGAAACCCTTTGGGCTGATCTAAGCCCACTAAAACATCTTTCTACTGTCTTGAGACAATTTAAGACACAGCTCTGCTGGTACCCGAAGCAAGGCAGAGTTGTCTGGTTGAGAAAAACAACCCTTAGTGCCAAAATCACACCTAACCACTCTGCTGATGCTCAAAGGATAATGCCAGGTAAGGATTGCTCCTGATCAGTTTAACCTTCACTGTGCTCATCCTTGGGAAGTACCAAATTAGTTAATCACAGCAGCAGTAGAGAAAAAACATTCTCATCATAAATATTCACAGTATCACATGCAATACAAAAAATCCTGTCTAAATGAAGGAAAATAAATTAGAAGATACTGGCCTGCTGATTAAAACTTACACACACTCCCACCATCGGCTGACATTTGCCTGCTCTTCAGATACTGCAGTCACACAAACACAGCCCCTCTGGCTGCTGGTGACATTAAAGGCTGAAACTCTCCAGATTTTAGGAGGAACAGGGATGATGGGAACGACATTCACTCATGTTTAATCCTAAGATTTCTCCATGCTTGCTGCTGAGCCCTGCCCAGAAAGGGTGCAGAGCCCAAATCCTGCCTGTACCAGGGCAGAGCATCAGGGCAAGGGAAGGGGCAGGGCCATAAGGACCAGCTCAGAATTGTCTTGCTGACACCAGAACCCCAGAGACCAGCACCCACCAGGTAGAGGATTTGTTCTGAAACTCATACCTGAGAAATATATTCAAATAGTAGTGATTGTTTGGCTCTAAAAATCTGATTTCCCTTGAAATTTTGCATGTGCCTATATTTTTCCTTATTGTAATTAAAATCAAACTTCATAGAAGTTATATCACTAGACCCAAGTTTGATTCAAAGAAAGCAAAATTATAAAATAGGAGTAAAAGGATCACCCCTTGCACTCCCTACCAAGCCATGATTAATTTTTCATTTACAATTATTTTCTGTGCAGCACTCAAGAGTTCAGGTAGTAACATTAAAAATTCCCTGTGCCCTCAGATTTCCCTAATTAAAATTGACAACCCTCATTTTGAGCCACAAACATAATTACCCAGTCCTCCTCACTGACTTGATAGCTGAGGTTGTTTGTTGATAATTTATGAGCATTGGAGAAGATGAACAACAAAGCTGAGGCTCTGAGAAACCTCTCAGCTCCTGCCTTTGAAGTCAGGAGGACGCCAGCAGCAGGAGCAGCTCGGAGGCTGCGCACAGGGTCCCTTCCTGAGGCTGTGCTGTCCCTCTCACCTGTGACAGTGACATCCACAGGACTCGTGGTCCCACTCCAGGGGTTGGGAGGGATCCCTCTGAACTGCTTTTCTGGAGTGTTTGCAGAAACATCAGGGCAGATCCTAAACTCCAGGTGCGTGAAAGCTGAGCTGGGGTTGCCTCAGGATGCCCTAAAAAGAGAGGACATCACTTGTGTGGTCACTTTGGTGTTTGCCTGTCCCTGTTTGAGAAGCCCCTGCCATCACCCCAAGCCAGAAGCCCAGCTAAGCTTGGCTTCCTTTGATGGCATCACATCACACATGCCAAGCCACTCTTTCCAAGAGTCTGAAGAACAGTTTCCCCACGTAAGTATACAATTAAAAAAATTCCCCCCAGGTTTTCCAGCATTACCTTATCACCTACAAACCCCTCATGTCTCACCACCTGCACAAAATCCTGTCTGAAATGAATAAGTTCAGTCTGAGGTTGTGTAAAACCAGCCCCATGCAACCCATTCATCCCTCCTAGTCTGGGTTTTGAGGAATCTGAATTTCCCCCTGCCCAGGAGCACATTTATACCTGGAACACATGATGCTGCCATGCCTCCTGGGGATAAGGGGCCCAGTGGGTGCAGAGGATGTTAATGGCATGCAGGATGTAGGTGGCAGGCACCAGGTGTCAGCCAAATAACAATTTACATCAGAGGTGATGTCTAGGGAAAGCAGTGAAAAGGAAAAAAAAAAGTGATGCATTTCACTGACTGTTTGCTCTATGTCTGTTTAGAGTTTTTCCCAGCCTTGCTCACAGGGAGAAGGATAGAATCTCATTTTTGGGATGTGAAACTCAAATGCTACTTAATGCAGAACAGCAAAGCCTTTTCTCCAGGAAAAGCCTCTATCTTTCCTGTATTTAAAGGTGATGAGAACATGGTGTTCTTTTGTCTACCAGCTCTTGGACAGCCCAACCTACTCCAAATGCCAGGAATCTGGGAACTGGGGGAAAAAGAAAAATGGAGAAGAGGCTGAAGCACAGAATGAGGATTATTAGAAATGTGTGTGTAAATGAAATAGCCTGCTGAGAGCTAGGCAGCATCACTGAGAAAGGCAATGTGGAAACAGACAGAGCAAAGCATTAATATTCCCTTTTTGGTCCAGGTTTTCCATACATTCACAGCAAAAGCAGTTCAAGTGCACTCTGTTCTCCCCTGGACTTCCCCCCAACCAAAGGATGTTGTAGTTCTGCATCTTTAAAGAAGCTGTAACTCTATCTGTAAAGGACAAAATAATTTTTTACATGGAATGTAAAGTGATTGAAATGGTCATCAAAATGGCTCATTTTGAAATACTGAAAGGATGTTTTGAACTTAAGAAGTTTTTCTTTCAGCAGTGGTATGAAGCAGCAGCATGGTGAGGCCAAGAATCGATTAAATATTTGGATATTGGTAAATCTACTGGAAAAAGTTCAGTTAAAAATGCAGCCTACTTCTGCTTCCAGGCAATAAAGGGTTCTTCCTCTGACTTCAGGTTGCTCCTAACATTTGTGTCTCTTCTGCTGTTTTCCCTCAGGCCACTGCTATTTCATCAATAACCAACAGGAAAAATGACAAACTGCCAGAGAGCAATTAATATCCATCCATTTCCTCTTGCATTAGCAAAACACTCCATTTACAAACCAGCCCTGCATGCTGAAAGCAAGACACGTGCCATGATTGTGCCCATTTGTCACCAACCAACGCCTGCTCAGAGGGGGACCAGGGACAGCACCAGTCCCCAGGGTCTAATCTCGAACTAAGGCCCTGGAGAAGCCTCTGGAAAGATAACAGTGAGATTAGGGTAGCCCAGAATCACCCCAGCTATGGTCTGGATGAATGAGGACTGGGATTTCCTCTGGAGACTTGAAGAATGTAGGTTTGTGCAAGCAACAGGGTATAGCTCAAACCCCAACTTTCTGAGTGCTATCGATCCTGCACAGGAGAAACCACCCAGATTTTTAGCAGAACTGCAGGGGAGAGATTTTCCTGCTCTGCCCTAAACCAGGACAGGTGGAAGGTCACAGCAGATGCTTTGCTTTTCTCACCAGGGCAGGAGAGGTAAAAGGAGTTGCAGAGGTCTATGAGGTAGGTACAGACACGTCCTGGGAGAGTTTTGGGAAAGGACTTTTCTTCACCATCACATGTCTGTGTGGAATTAATAAGCACAAGTCCTTGTGTGCACAGCTGCTGTCACCAGCTCTGATCACAGGTTTGCCATCAACACAAACCCCAGCTTTAAGAACATCTCATTAAAAACAACATGGGACAGGATTTCCCCAGTCCACACAAGCAAATTACACATCTCTGCTCCTGCTGTGTGTATGAACAAAAGAGCTCTTTTCTGGGATTGTGCTGCTGCTCAAATGTATAGTAATATGGCTGAAAAAACTAATCCCTGAAGTTAAAGCACAGCAAGGGAAGCAGAGAGCTGGGCTGCAGAAGTTCCCACCAAGGTGGTCCCTTGCTCACTCTGGGATCAGGCAGTGACCTCCTCCTGCTCCTGCCACGGAGGGGACTGAGCCATGCTCTGCCTATCCCATCACTCCAGCACACAGCTGAAAATAGCTATTCAAAGTTTTACCTCTGGCACAGTTATCAGACAATTATTATATTTTTAATTCACCCCAAACAGCATCTTAACTGTGTTAAATCCAAAATGCTGCTGTCCCCAGACCTCAGGGGATTTGGCAAAGGGGGCACAAGGAGAGTGGTACTGCTCTCCAATGACAATGAGGCAGGAGTGAAACCTCAGCATCTTGCTTATGAATGAAAATAAATTTGTGCTTTTGTGCTAATTAAGTACATGTATTTTGTTGCTGAGGCTTAGCTGTTACTGATTTTAGACTACATTTTCTAGTCTGATGTGGTTTACTTCAGCAAAGTGAGATGGAAGAAAATGAGCTTTTCTAGTTTTCATGTCATATTTACACTGCTCTTACCATTTAACAGAGTCCCTTGCAGTTACCAATTACTTCTCTTTCAGCCCTCACTTTGAAACAGGAAATCCTTCTGTCCAACAAAGGATGATGAACAGAAGCACAGGACAAACTCAGCAGTTTGCAGAGCCAGGGGACTTCGGGCAGTGCCATGAGTGAAAAACAGAACTAGAACCAAAACCTAGTCCTGTTTTGGTTTTGGTGCTGTGGGGACCCCTCCACTCCTGCCTGGCACCATTCCTGAGTCTCCTTGTGTCACCAATAGCAAAATCCCTTGTGAAGTAGCTCCTGAATCACATTTTACAGCCCAAGCTAATGAAATTAACTGGCAGCACATTTACATTTTTCATCTGCAGTTTTCATTTCCCCATGGTAAGTCCAGGGTGACCGGTGAGGCAGTGAAATGGGCACACACCTTTCAGTCCTGCTCAGGGCTGCTGATGAGAAAGGTGTGGAGAATTTAGAACACATCCACTGCCTGCTCTGCCTCTTTCCTGCAGGAATTTTCTGGTGCTCCTTCCTGGACAAACCTGTCTGAGCAACATGCACCCTGAGGGCATATTGGGCAACCTTCTCCTGACTCATGGTGCGTAGGAGTGCTCCAAAAGCATCCTTGGCTGTGTCCAGGTGAAACACTTCAGTGACACATCACATTTACCAAGCACCCAGGAGCTCCCCAGCCCTGCTCCTGAGCTGGAAAGGCCAGAACAGGTTCTGCCAGCCAGGGATCATGTCCAGGTGTTTGCTGATTGTTCTCACCCAGCTTGGTCTCGTGGCTAATTGGCAGTGACAAATCCATCTCTCCATTTCTAACAGTCCTATTCCTGCTGATCCTAGGGAGAGCAGCCCCCTCAGGCCTCAGCTGGGGAAACCATCACTGAACCAACACTTTGCCCAAAGCAGTGAAGCTCAGCCTCCAGAAGCTTAAGTTCACTGAACTGGCATCTCCCAAGAACACCAGTCTCAGCAAAACCATCCCTCATCACCCCTTGCACTCCTGCTGCCTTCACAAAACTTGTGGTGGGGGAGGAAAGTCCCACCTTGGGATGCCACGGCACAGGCCAACCAACCTATCCAGGCCCACACACCAGCACCACCAAGCTGGGGGCTCTGCAAGTCAGGGAAAAATGAAAGTTGCTGAAACTGCTGTAATTCCAAGCAGCCAGGACTCTGGTGGGTGTTTTTTGCTGGCAGGGCGAGTCACCTCCTCACTCCTGCCCGAGGCAGGGGGACATGCAGAGCACCCCTTGGCTGGGGACAGCCTGTGACCAGCCCAGGGCCAAGAGGCGAGCTGGAGATTAGAGCAATTTGGACCTGTCACTTTGATGCACGGTGTTTTGCTTTGTGGTCACAGGCCTCTTTCAGTAAATAAAATCAGAGATGATTTCCTTTGCCCCATGGGATTTCTTGATGCTACAATTAGCATCTGAGAAGATTTTAAAACTCAGGAGTGTAAATTTATGGACACAGCTGTCAGAAAGGCTGAAAAACTCGTATCCCTTAAATTACCAGCATCCTTGGCTGTTCAGTGCTGATATAAAACCACAGAAGACACTGTGTTGGCAATGCCATTCCCCGTGTCCTCATAACTAAAACAACTAAACAACTTAAACAGGATAATACACATAATACAAATAAAACTGAACATAATGCAGTCTTCACAGTTATAATTTATTTCAAGATCTACACATGGGTTAGGCTTTCTATATAATTAAATCTATAGATTGCCTTTGAATGCTTACCTTGCAATTCCTTGAGCTCTGATGAAAAGTGTGCTGTTTGCAATGACAAGATTTATTGCATCTAGCACTCTATATTATAGCTGCTCCGCTAACCACAATAAACAAGATATGAAAAGCAATCATACAGATAATGCCATGGAGGAACAAGTACCAGCTTTGTCTTTAACCCCTTCACCTGCCTTTCTGCTGGAAACTCAGCATTCCTGCTGCACCATCCAGCCCTGGTGGATTAAGGATTTTGTTTCTGTAGTAGCAGACTCAGGGCTTGGGTTCCTTTTCCCTCATTTCTAAAGCACCAGTATTGCTGGGAGAGTTTCCCTCTGTCACTGTAAAAGGTCACAGTCCTTGTCTGGAGGAAAAATAACT